AATATCAATGATAAGCATTTTGGGTATCAATGATAAGCATTTTGGATATCAATGATAAACATTTTGGATATCAATGATAAACATTTTGGATATCAATGATAAGCATTTCGGGTATCAGTGATAAGCGTTTTGGGAAATTTGTCGATGAAATTTTGGACAAAAATTGTAAAATTGGCAAATTTTTATTGGAATATATCCGTTCATAAAAAAAAAAAAAACGTTGAAATTTCTATTATTGATAAATAAAAAGTTTGATAAATGCAAACAATTATTAACAATTAAAGTAAACAAATAATTTCCGAATAAATTAAAGGAAAAAAAACCGATCAATAACCAATAAATGAGTTAATTATAACAAAACTTACCAAATCTGAGATTGCCAATGAAAAAATGAAATAATTGCTCGGTTGACGAATATTTTTATCCAAATAATAGCATAATAAAACAGCTGAATTACCAACAACTGTAATAACAGAAATAGCACCCATAATAATAGATAGGACAATTGCGCCCCAACTTATATGATGATTAACTGTGGTACCAAGTATAGTAGTGGTTGATGGAAGAGTTGCATCAGTTGAAATAGATAATATTGGTTCCCAATCACTACCAATGTATTCATCCATGAAGCGTAAATTCAGTTCATTGGCAGTTGAAAATTTTCCTGCCCGTAATATGAGTCAACAAAAAAAAAAAAAAAAAAAAAAAAAGGTAAGCAATGGGTTTAATGAATTAAGCCATATTTTGTTTAATCGCTTTTTTTTTTTTTGCATAATTCAAATGAAATCATTAATAAATACTTAGGAATTCAGTATTTTCCCGAGAGAAATCTCGATTTCTTTTTTCACCAGTGGAATATTTTTTTTTTAGAATGTTGCAAAAAAAAATAATAGCATTTTGATAGTTTCCACAGTTCATAACAAGAATTGATCATTCATACAATGACAATTATTGATTTTTTTTTCCTGTCACAGTATTAAATGATATTTTTGATTAAATCAAAATAATATCGTAATTTTTGATTTTTTCCACTTCAAAATCTGAAAATAATACTTCTATTTATATATGATTACAAATTCAACTAATTAGTCACATACACTATGTTATCAAACGATATATTTTTCAATAATGTACGCATTATCGGCGAAATAGTTGCATGCTATTTATTCAATACTTAAAAATTATCCTACGTATTTGGTTAATTAATTAGCTATATAATATGTAATTTCAAATATCACAACCTAACATTAATCCGCTAATTTTTTTTTTTTTTTTTTTTGATTAGCTACAAATAAACAAATGACATAAATAAAACTTTATCATTTATTAAATCATCTTTGATCTTTAATTTTTGCTCTTCTATGGCATCAAAATATTTTTAAATATATAAATAATTAGTTACATAAAATTATCACAAAAATTTCCTACAAAAGCTATCTTAACATTATTCCTAAATATTAATTATAGCCTTTCTTTTTTTTTTTTTTTTTTCAACAAAAAATTCTATTAATAAATGGTAATTTTTTTTTTTTTTTTTGAAATTAGAGTATAAAATGAAGAAAAATGAAACTTTTTTAATGATTATATATTTTATAATGAAAGTAATCGTAATGTATAAGTTATTAATAATAAATTGTTATATGTTTCTCTTTTTTCCTTCTTTTTTCAGTTCCTTTTTTTTTTTTCATCATCTTCTTTTTTTTTTCTTTTTTTTAATTTCATAGAAATGGTATTGAAGCAGTGCTAACAATTGTTGCACTGAAGTAAACGTATTATTTCATGCATAAATAAAGTAATCAAGTGACAAATGTGACACGTTGACAAATAAAATAAAGTTTTTAGAGATGACAAAAAAAAAAAAAGAAAAAAAGAAAAAACAATGAAAAGGAAGTAAAAATTCCTTAAATAACTGCTAAACGAAATAATATTAGGATGATTTTCGATAAATTAAATATAATTTATAAATTTATAACGAAAAAAAATAGCGAATTTATTAATTTTAATATATATATATATATATATATATATGTATATATATATATATATATATAATATATATATATACATATA